AAGGTCTCCCCGAAGCCTTCTCTTCTCCAGGCTGAACAACCCCAACTCTCACAGCCTTTCTTCACAAGAGAGGTGTTCCAGCCCTCGGATCATTTTTGTAACCTCCTATGGACCCGCTCTGACAGGTCGATGTCTTTCTTGCACTGGAGACACCAGAGCTGGATGCAGTACTCCAGGTGGGGTCTCACCAGAGCAGAGTAGAGGGGCAGAATCACCTCCCTCCACCTGCTGGCCACACTTCTTGTGATGCAGCCCAGGATATGGTTGGCTTTCTGGGCTGCAAGCACACGTTGCTGGCTTACATTCATATCCAATTTTTCATCCACCAGTATCCCCAAGTCCTTCTTGGCAGGGCTGCTCTCAATCCATTTATCCCCCAGTCTGTGCTGATACTGGGGATTGCCCCAACCCAGGTGCAGGACCTTGCACTTGGCCTTGTTGAACTTCATGAGGTTTGCACAGGCCTCCTCAAGCCTGTCGAGGTCGCCCTGGACGGCATCCCTTCCCTCGTGTGTATCAACTGCACCAGTCAGCTTGGTGTCATCTGCAAACTTGCTGAGGGTGCACTCAGTCCCACCATCTATGTTGTTGATGAAGATATTAAATAGTATTCGTCCAAGTATGGACCCTTGAGGGACACCACTGGTTTCCACTTGGACATTGAGCCATTGGCTATAACTCTTTGGACGCAGCCATCCAACCAGTTCTTTATCCATCTAACAGTGCATCTGTCAAACCCGTATCTCTCCAATTTAGTGGCTAAAATGTTGTGGGGGATCATAACAATAGTAGGCCTGAGTGAAGATAAGCACAGACTGCTGATACGGCTCTTTGTTTAGCAGGGCACTAAATTCAGTGGCAAAAGAGGCTCATTCCAATCATGTATATTTTCCTTAGAAACAACAAGGGAAGCTGTTTTGGCTAAAGCTCTTGAAATCAAGATAAAGCTTCAGAACCTTTTGACTTGTTGCCCTTGCTAGGTAGTACCATGTCACCCTGTCCACTAATCCACTGTTGGAGGATAGCTTCATTTTTCAAATGAAATACTGTCTCTAAAGTCAGTCAAACATAGCTTTTCAAATTCACACAAAAATTGTCTTGAGTTCTACTCAGCGTACCAAAAAGCCCAACAAGAAGACTGTAACAGCTATATTGACACATGTATAACGACATTTGTACAAGTTCTTACAAAATGAAACAATGTACAGGTTAGGCTGCACAAAAGAGATCAGGAAATGCGAAAGTTAAGAGTGGTCACAATTCTTAAGTACTGGTTTCGCATCATAGTTATACAGTGACATGACTTGCACTATTTTACACCACTATTTTCATTATCTTTTATAATTGACCTTTTTGCTTCCTTAAGTTCATCACGTAGTAGATCACACTCTAATTATATTTTGCAATGCCAGGCATTTCAGGATTCCTTTCTGACCCAGTTGTGCTGCTGATGAGCAGTGCATTTCAGCAGTAAATCAGAAAAGGTTTCTGTATATCACACATGTAAATACTTTGTTCTAACTCAGTGGCTCTGGTTTTTCGTATATGCAAACATTACTTGCCCAGTGTAATTGTTCTTAAACTTAAGAAGTATCCATTGGTACTCTTCCCGTTCTCACAGGCTTTTCTTTCTACCTTCTACTTAAATTTTATCTAAAAATGAAAGTAGTTGCATCCCTCCAAACACAGAAAAAGTCTGTATTTGTAACAGTTTAAAATAATTCTAATGTTGCTTAATTATTTGGCAGTGGAAACCATAATAGGTTTAGCTGTGCCACTAAAACATAATAATATAATACATGCTGTAGTTGTGCAGTATGACTCAGCACTGCATAGAGAAATTATGTGCTGTCTGAATAATTCCTTCTTCTTATATGGCAAATACAGCCACAAACAAGAAACACAGAATCCTAGGCCTTCCAAATTTCAGTCTTTGATATAAGACGCCAGGATGCCAACAGTGCAGCTGCACAGGATCACTAAGAATCAAAGTATTTCACAGTTTAAGTACATTAAAAGTATCATATGAATGCTAGAGCAGCTCAGGTACTTACAGTGCCCTCAACCTCTGAATACAGGCCTGACCAAAAGCTGAAAGTACTTTTGTCCAGCTGATACAGACGAGATTTTTCAAATGTTTCTGAATCCATGATCTGTCCTAATTCCCGTGGAACATGTGTTGTTGTTCTATACACCCGTCTCTGAAAAATTGAAAAAGAAACTTAAAGTCTACATCCAATATTTTTAAGGAGATAAATAAGATCTAAAAGTAACACACAACATGATCCCACCACAGAAATTTTTAAAAAACCCAAATAAATTCCTGTTTTCTATCAAGTTCCAAATATAAAACTGAAGCATAATTATTACGTTATAACCAGAAACTGAGTTGCCTACTTATTAATTTATTTCCAATAAAGATTACACAAACTCCTTTTTCCAGAGGATATGACTTACTGCACCACAGTAACAACTAAGCAGAGTTTGAAACTAAACACCAGATCCTCCCATGCAAACCATGCAACTTCACCAGAAAACATATCTATGATGTGGCTGCACAAATGAGGTGCTATTTCATTTTTGGTAGAGAACTCACCACTTTAAAATTTTTAAAGACTAAAAGTCCTTATTCCATCCACTACCTTATCTTGTTTCAGTACATTTATCCCTTTTCAAAAGAAAAGCTCCTACCCCTTGTCACTTCAGAATACATTCTTCCTCTGACCGGAGTATCAGGCTGCAGTCTCACAGACAGCTTAGCTGGTCCAAAGGCTCACAAGAGCATGCAGCATTGCTTCCTGCCCTCCTGGCAGCGTCTTCCCCAGCTGTGCTGGGTCTGGCTGGGATGGAGTTAATTTTTTCAGAGCAGTCTGCATGGTGGTATGCTTTTGCATTTGTGGCCAAAGCAGTGTTGATAACACACCAGCGTTCTGGCTACTGCTCAACAATGTCAAGGCTTTCTCCCTCTCTTCCCCAGCGAGCAGGCTGGGGGTGGACAAGAGGCTGGAAGGCGACATAGCCAGGACAGCTGACCTGAGCTGACCAAAGGGATATTCCATGCTGTGTAATGTTATACTCAGCAATAAAAACAGAAGTAAAGGAAGAAGAAGGGGGGGGGGGAGGGAAGAGGGTTTGACTTCCAAGGTGGCTGTTACTTAGAGACTGGCCAGGCATCGGCCTGCCTGGGGGAGGTGGTGAGCTATTGCCTTTGCAGCACTTGTATGGTTTTTTCCCCTCTTTCCTTCACTTATTAAACTGTCTTTACTTCGACGCATGAGTTTTCTCACTTTTGCTCTTCCTGCTCTGTCACCTGTCCTGGGGGAGGAGGATCGAGCTGCTGGGTGGGTGCTGGGCTGCTGGTCACCCCACCGCACCCACACTTTTCAGATCCTTCTATGAACTCGCCTAACTCACTGATGTGATGGTGAGTGTCCCCCCCACCCCGCAAAAACAAGCGGGGGTCAGTGCCTTGGTTCATCTGAGGGAGTGCAGCCGGTCCACAGAAGATCAGCTGTGCTCCAGAGCAGGGGCAAGCGTGAGCAGACGCAGGCAGCGACTTCAGCCCTCCCCCACAGCCCGCCGGCGGCAAACCACCTCCACCGACAGGTCGCGGGCCAGCAGGGTCGACACCGCGCCCCAGCCCCGCTGCCTCGGCCGGGACAGGGCCAAGCCCTCCCCAGGCAGGCGACAGACCAAGCCGGCCCCCGTGCCGCTCGGTC